AGGGTGGCAAAATAGTTTTCGTGAGGATTGTCAACCATTTGAGAGCAGAAGTACCTCATCAAATGAACAGAGTAAGCAAGTTGGTAATTCCTTACCTAAAAGTGTATCTACCCGGCGTCACTATTTAAAGAACCAAGACCAAAGTGAATTATGTGTTTCTGATGGTAACAATTTAGAAATAACTGACCAGATTAAAGAATCTTGTGAACAAGACAAAACTAGACCTGAGAAAGATCTAGAGATTCATAATGAACAGTTCGAAGAAGTCCATCCTTGTACAGAGAATATGTATGATACAAACAGAGATCAAAGCTTGGTGTGTTCATATATGCTGACTGAATCCAGTACATCAACAACTGATCTAAAGGAAACTAATTTTAATAGTATTGGTGATTCGCAAACACAGAAGGAGAGAGGTCAAAAAAGGAAACTGGAAGAAGTGAAAAATCGTTCCAGGACAAGATCAAAAAAGAAAAGTCAGAGTAAGCGTTCCTGTTCCAAAGAAAAATCAGATTCATCTGTGGGCTCCAGTGATGCTTATAACTTTATTTTTGAGGAGAGCATCCATATTACACCTTTCCGACAGAACAAAAAAAATGAGAATATCACAGACAATAAAAGTTATGTAGAAGAAATGTGTAGTGATTTGTCATCAGACGATAACTCTGATGACAGTCTCTATGTGCCTTACAAAAACAAATCAAAATCTGGGGAAACATTAAGCCATGGAAGCGATGCAGCCCCAGTATGCACAAGATGGCAATCCAAAACTACTGTTTCAGAACAGCATGAAAGAACTACTGAAGGAAAAATGTCTATAGGTAAGTAGACCATTGAAAGTTATGTTCCCTTCCAATTCATTATTGTGCTTTTACGAATTAAATGTGTATGTAATTAAAGTATATCTGAAGAAGTGAGCAGTGACTCACAAAAGCTCAAACCCTGGCACAAATTCTGTTAGTCTTTAAGGTGCTACTGGACACTTGTTCTTTTCTATGTAATTAAAACAGAGACATCTGCAACTAACTTTCCTATAGATATAATTGAGCTGTTACATTCTTTCAAAACTGAATAATCTTAGACTTAATTTTTGTGTGTTTGCATTTTGCTTCCAAATAGATATATTTAGATATATTTCCATGAAATCTTTATTATTGTCCTGTTCTTGACTGTGCCATGTAAGAATTGACATTGTTTTGCTCTCTTCCCTGTATTTATTAATGTGACACACAGTATTTCCTCATGTTTAACATGAACAATATGGAGAAAAAAGTACAGCTCTGACAAGGAGCCTTGCTCTGTTTCCTACATGGAATATTGATTTGCATGCTCCAGAATCTGCTTTGTTATCTCATGTTGAAAGTTGATCCTAGGAGTCTCTAAGTGGACCAGACCTTCAACCCTCTGGATTTTAACCTAAAATTCTCTGGATTCCAGAGAAAGTCATAGTTACTTGTACAACTTGATATAGTGGCACCCAGTTCCAGCCACTAAGTGCTCTGTGTGTGTGTGTGTGTGTGTGTGCCCACACCCCTTAAAATAAACAAATAGCTGTTACAACAGAGGATAGTAAAAGTTGGGGTACTCTAAGGAACTGTATTGGGGCTTGCCAGCAATGGAATTGGAGGCAGTGTGTCTTACAAACACATACCAGGGCAAAGAACAGGGATTGCAAATTAGAATAATACAAGTGGAGACCCGCAAGAAACATTCGGGATGGTTATCGTATTCCTCACACCTTTGCTTCCTCCTGTCTCCCTCTACCTCTCCCACACTCTCCCTTCTGCCCCCCTTTCTTTCTCTCTCTCCTCCATGTATGGTTTGGAGGGTGAAGTCTATGGCATTATAGTGATCTGTAGTTCCTCCCCTCCTCAAATCCCACCCTCCCCTTGCCCCACCCCACAAATGTCCAGGAATTTCCAGCCTCCAGGTGGGACCTGGGGATGCCTGGAATTATTGCTCATCTCCAGACTACAGAGATAACTTTCCATGGAGAAAATGGACGCTTTGGAGGTTGGACTCTGTGACATTGTACCCCACTAAGGTCCCTGTCCTCCCCAGGCTCCACCTGCAAATCTCCAGGTGTTTCCCAGCCTGGATCTGGCAACCTTATCCACAATCCCCTGCCGGTGGCGGGAGGGGGGGACCTGGCGACCCTAAACTGCTGCCAGGCCTAGGGTTGCAAATCTCTAAGTGGGGCCTGGAGGCCCACCACCCCAGAATTACAACTAAACTCAAGACAGCAGAGATCTGTCTCCCTGGAGAAAATGGCTGCTTTGGAGCGTGGACTCTGTGGCATTATACCCAGCTGAGGCCTCTCCCTTCCCCAAACCCAGCCCTCCTTACAGTCCACCTCAAAACCTCTAGAGATTCCCCAGGCTGGCACTGGCAGCCCTTGTCAGGCCTGGCCCCAAGGCTCCCTC